AACGAATCGATGCCCCCAGTTCGGAAAAAAGTTTCATAATAATTTTACGCTTGCCAGGCTATTTTCCCATCACCTTAACCCTCTGTGTACCTACCACGTAACTTTGAAGTCACATACCCGTTAATCGATATTTCTAAGTTTTACTTCATTTTTCCTGCCAAACTTTACGTGGCACCTCATTATTCTATCTGCCAATTGTGAATTTATAAAAGCTTAATTTATACAAATCTATATAAACGGTAAGTTTCCAAACAAATGGTTAATACAAGAAGATGAATATTTTCAAATTTCACGTTATGTCAGTTTTTCATTGGATTACAGAGGGTTAAAGGCAGTAATTAATTCTAGAATTAAGCTCGAAATTTCGACTCGATTAACCTTCAACTCGCCCAGCTACATGCTACGTGTCGTAAGCCGACCATGGATTAATTACATGCTCCCTGCCTCCATCATCGACGACCCGCGATATTTTATACGTAACTATGATCGACAATAAAACAAGAGCGGACAATTACATAGGGAAAACGGGCGATTTCTGTCCCTCTTACATATCGCACGGTGCATGTGTGTACGAGCATGGCGAGAATCGAGGCTACCAGTGGCCGAAGATACGTCCGCTGTTTACAAGCAACGCTCGGCACTGTATTCGCTGAACGATAATGAAATAACTGAATTACGAGCGGTGCAACGCCGAGGCACTTGACGTTCGCACATATCACTCGATCCGAAAGTCGCGCATCGCTCGTGATCCGCGACGTCGAAGGTATTAAGGTGAAGTGAAACCCCCTTCAAATCAGTCGATTCGAATACAACACTTTTTTTTAAGGGTATTAGACCAAACTGTCCGAAACTTTGACACATCACTCCTGATCATCTAAGAATTGTCCTGACACATTCAAAATTTGGATTTTTGGAAGAAATGTTAACTTAGCCCAGACCAGAACCAAAATGGCGTCAGGCTCTCATATTTCGATCGATATACAATTATCGAAGGCTCTGATATGAGAAACGAAAGGGTCAGGACAATTTTACGACAATTTAGAACACTCTGGTAATCGATAAACTCGCATTTGAACGGGATAAAGGCAAAAAAAGTGTCGTATGCGCTTCTATGCTAAAACGATGGGAATACGAGGTCTCGGAGTGAAAATTTAATTGACCTGGAAATCACAGATGGCGCAGGGGGTCCCTCTGCAGTCAATTAGGGCCCCAGAAAGCATGAATCCAGAGGATTTCTGGAGTTCTACTTTGATTTCTTGATATTTATTGTACGAAATCGACAGGTGGAGTATGCCATTTGGTACAATATCCAATATAATTCGACACAGTTGTCAATATAAAAACGAACGTCGGCAACAAAGGTATTTGGAAAAATCTTCTTTATCGACGTTGATCAAGTTCCTCGACGTGTTTCAATTCACCTTAAATATTTCGAAGGAGGCAAGAAGCGCCTCGAAGAAAGAGTAAAGATACGGTAACTGGCAAGCCCGAGGCCTCGGTGCTCGTCCACTCGTATTAACGTTATCGAGGATGTTATCGCCGAGTAAAAAATCACATCCTTTCGGCACTTCCGACATCCTCGTCTTCGAGAGGCAGGAAATCGTGGAAGCGCTAAATAACCGCGGTATGCTTTCCCCTTGATACGTAAAAAGTGATACCGTTTATTCCGATCATTATAGCAAGTTACCGTCGAGGTGTCAAGGAGTCCATCCACGACTCAAAAAAGAGCTTTCGATTCCTCTTTTATTCCTATCATTTGTCCTAGACGCAGATTCCGATTTTTCGGTTAATCATCAAAGGGGTGCTAAGTGAAATTGTCTAATAAGAAGTTGTTCTCGTAATATACTTTCATCCATTTTGTATCGAGTCAAGTTAGACTTTGCCAATACAGAAGAGGCGGAAAAAAAGAAACGAGCGAAAAAGAATATAGTGCCAAGGACTTCGTCATGAGTGCCTTGAGTCGACCGAACGATATGCTGCAACTTTTTTTTAACTGGAATCGGAGGTTCTTCTAGGATTGCAGCCAATTTTATACGCTTAGAAGTTCTAACTGAGATATGCTTCCACTCATTTTGCATACCGTCAAGTTAGATTTTTCGTGTAAGAAAGAGACGAAAAAGAATAGTGTCAAGGACTTTGCGACGAGTGCCGTGAAAATTCCTCAGGTCGAAACAAAGACAGAAGGCAACTTTTATAAACTGAAATCGGACGTTTCCCGTGGATTCCAGATGATTTTATGCGCGTGGAAGTGCTTTAATAGACGACGTGGGGGAAAATTTAATTTCGTTTTTTGGTTTGAAGAGGCTAGGTGTTTTTTTGGAACGAAATAAACGTGGAGTACCTGCGCCGTGGGTACGCGAGCGAGACGGAGGACCGAAACAGTCACCGCTATAAACTCACGTGCTTACATCACTGGAGCCTCGGGCTTTCATATAATCGGTGCATATACGCAACACGACCGACCACTCTTAGCAGTAACGAGCACATACGAGTGAACAGAGGATTTCACGGACACTGAATGCAATCCCGACCTGCAATGTCGCCTATGTGCTCATTAAACGACCTTTTCCAGAATCAGAATTTTTTTTACCTCCTACGACGAAGGAATAAACTAAGTTTAAGTCGTTCTCGAAAGGAATACGAGTAAGGAGATAAAAGGTATCCTTAACGACTAAGACCTAGAGTATTCGAATTTTCCAGGTTATAAGAAGTCTTAAAAAAATATGAATACGTTTTTAATATAATTAACTGCGAATTTAAATTTCTTGTGGTTGATCGCCTATACGGACACACTCTGTGAAATTAATATTTTTTATGGATGGTAGATTATACTAGGTACGGAGTAAGTTTGCCTCGAGGAATACACCCGGTAAACACAAAGTGGTGGAATACGCGTTGAGAAATGGTGTAAAACTATTAACAGTAATTGTATTAAGTGTGTTGCAAGAAGTGTTTTACCCGTTCCATTGTTTCTGCACTTACCACGACAAATTTAACGTTCATATAACATCTATTTTACGTTTGTTAAACTATCGTTTTAGTAGTGTAACATGAACGTCGTTTAAACGTAGTCCGTTTAAACGTATAATATAAGTTCATAATCGTTTACTGGACATTCAAATGACGTTAACACATTATGTTAACACTTTGACGGCCACACCTTTGATAAGAAGCTTTGCACTTGTCGTCGGTATATATTGGTGAAAACTACTGCCTGCCGCCGGCACTTTTTACAAGCTTTATTAAAAGTAATTAATGAGGTAGACATAATTATTATTTAAAAAGTTCAAATCCAGTTATCTATCTTCCGATCTAGATAAACGATTTTGTTCCGAATGGGCTCGATTTGTACATAAAAATCTAAACAATAGACTAAAAAAGTCCGACAAAAATGGTAAGAAAAGTGCATTTAGGGAAGTAATACCTTAATCCCTTTAAATGAAGTCTTTTAATGTTTAAGAAATTTTAGAAAAAGCCCGAGACAGTGGAATTAGATCCAACAAATGACAATGCGAATATTTATTTTCCGAGATAACCAATTAAAACAAATATCGCAATAAATAAATGCGAACTGATAACCGTTAATCAAGCGAAGCCACAAAATTCAGGCCGACAATCGCCAGAAATATTAAGTCACATAAACGTGATGCCGGCCGACAACCGCTAGCAAATTGAAGTCGCATAAATGTGACTCCGGCTGTCAAAGTGTTAAAGTACTTTCTTCTCGACTAGAGACAAATGCATTAAAATCTTCACGCGGAAAATCAATGTTTCTTATGAATGTATATTTAATGTTAAGAAATAACCGTGGGTGGATAAACGTATAATTTTTACAATTACCACTCTATTTCCATTAGTTTTGCTTGTATAAAAGTGAACTCCACTATTTTGTGTTTAGTAGGCATATGCAGCCCATTAGTTCCGAAGATCGTAGTAATTATTGAGACCCATTTTTTAATTGTACGAGTGATAACAGATGGCTCGCAACGAGTGCTCCACTAGTGCTGGATGCGTGTCTGGACTAGAATATCGATGAAGTGTACTTATTACGTACTCTTTAAACATATGTTCCAGACTTGATGGAAAGTGTGGATCGCCCTCGGTGGTAACGCTATACTATTTGTAAAGATAATGTAAGGCAAATACAAGGATAAACAATGCACCGAGCTCCATACGGTTCCACCAGAAAAGTGAAATTGGAATTTCAATTTCTCATTGAAATGGTCAATTGTGCAATGGATTTAGTACTTTCGACCTGAGACAAAAAAAACGGTTGACTCTAAGAAACCTGCGACAACAAAATCCTGCGATCAAATACGTCCAAAGAAATGTCAGATGGAGTAAAGAAAATTAATTTAAATCAACAGGAATTAGTTTAAATCAACGACGTCAATTTTCCTTCTTAACAAAATAATTGTTTCTTGCAATTATATATCATTCAGGCATCCATATGTATGTCAACGATATATAATTGTTTCAGTCAACTAATCTTTTTTTCTCAGTGTACGTGGACAATTCGTATCTACAGTTACCTACGAATTTAATAGACGCTATCGAGCATTTGCTAAATGATTTAAATATTACATTTAACGTATGGAAGATACTTTCAACCGAAATGAGTGTATATCCATTTTACGGTAGAGTGCCACTTAAAATAAGAACAGTAAAGATTAGTGCGGCAAGCTCGCCGCGTGGGAGTGGCGTCTAATTTCGGACACACCATTAGAGGGACATGAAATTTCAGGTACTTCCGAATTATCACACCTTCTATAGATGATAGGTTTCAATTGCTAGACCAGCACGTCTTCCATTTCGACTTATTTATTTAAATCCGAGACGAACGGGTGCTAAAACGACCAAACCGAGTGGTTTGGACTGGAATTAGCACCGAGTTTCTCGTCTGCCGAGGAGTAGGTCCTCGTGCGGACGAGCGAAGTCGATCCTTAAGTTTAACTTACGTTTTACATGAGTCGGTAAAACCGAGCTCAGGGGCTACTCACATTTAATCAACTCGACGACCTCCTTATGAGTCGACTGCACCACGTTCACGCCGTTCACCTAGGAAGATCAAAGGCGTGCATTATCAATGAGTGTCGGCCTGCCGGTCGTTAATGGTGGATAGTAATTCCCCTAGTCCCTGCGAGAAGGTGGAGGATAACTTCGACCTCCTCTTCCGCCCACGCGGGAATACGCAACCCCGAGGGTTTATCGGTAATGACAAATAGTCGAGTTTCGGAAAGGCCGATTCAACCACGGGGGAACCATCCTCAAAGCTAAGAGGTTAATGTCAAAAATAGTACCAATGAATTTTGCCAGCGCAAGGTCTCGCAATGATTGTACCGATTTCAAGCAAAAAGGAAAGTATTCCATGCAAAACAAGAAGGTACAGGTGGATTTAAGTAATTTGTAAAAAGAGAAAACAGTGAAAGCGAATCCGCAACATTATGCAAAGAGCTAATAGAGGATGGAATTAAATTCTATCGACGCTATCGAATATCCTTAAGATCATACTCTACCAGGAAAAATGTAATTGGGAATTAAATAGAAACGATATTATGGAAAAAAAAAAAATAAATATATGTAGAAAAACCGCCTTCCATGACAGTGCCGATACCGTATCGTACCATCCGTACAGTGAAAACATTCAGAGTGTAACAAAACGGGGTTTAATTGGCTATTTTTCAATAAATTCCTATAACCAAATTAGGCATCATAAAAAAATAATACCGGACTTTTTCCCTACATTTTCGGCAAAGATAGAGCTGTGTAAACTGTGACCACCAATTTTGTTATATTCTGTATATCAGTTCGAGTTGGAGCCTTGATATTAATACGGACGGTCGGATATGGATACTAAATACGAAATGTAAATCTTAAAAAAAATATATATCAGTTCTATCAGTACGTGGACATATGTATATTGCATGGATACGTCACAGACACGGTAGGGATATGTTCTGAATCGGCCTTAACTCCGACATCCTAAACCGCCCACGCGGGAATACGTAACCCCAGGTAATCACCGCGACGAGTTTAGTAACTCGAGTTTGGTCCGAGCACATGCATTATCGATCGTTATCTTATTTGCTAAAAGCACGGCAAATATTTCGAAAGGCGGCCGCTCTTTTCGCGCAACTATGTTCCTGCCTCCCTAGATAAAATCCGCCTCTAAAGTAAACGCTTACGTCGGGATCTACGCGATCGTTCCTGCGAGGAAGCCCGTCAATTTAGTCGATAAGACCCACTGGCATTGCCTCGATTGATACGTCCAATCGAGGGAAACGGAGTTTCGCGATTTCATTGCCAGCAGATGAAGCCCGATGACCTTGCTTACTTGGACGAGGAACGGAACGGAACTTTTACGCCTCTTAAGTCTTTCCTAATCGAATCGTTAACGATTCACTTAGAAAATTTATCAGCAAGATAGGAAAAACGCTTTACCCGAGTTTTCGATTAAATAACTGCCCTATGTACGACGCAAAGAATTGTTTCGTTAAATATGGACTAGGGACACGAGGGTCGTTTTCAAACCACTTCTCTTCACTTCTTTCTAATGTTAAACGGAAATCTCGGCGCAAAATCGCCGGAAGTGAAATGTCAACAATAAAGAGAATTAATATTAAATATTCTTAATAATCCTTTCACAAAATGCTTTTACGCGTTCGGTACTACTGGTTCTGGGCATAGCGATACTAAAAATAATCATGAGTATAAATAATAATTAACCGGAAAAAAAGGAGGTAAATAAATAAATGTACACTTCTCGATATGCTCCTCTGTCTTATCATGAATCTAGACTACCGAGAAATAGGAAATTTCACTTTGAAAATTATACAGTCTTACGTGACTATCTAGGATACTGTGTAATGAAAAATAAAGTATTGCAATTAATCTCATGCTTCGTATATTCCATTCTATTATGATTTAAGAGATTCTTCAATTAATATCTTGCACCTCGATTATATCACATTGACGAAAATAAAAATCAATAACGAAACTATTCGTGTACATGATTTATCGCCAACGGAGTTCCTCGTATCAGGAAATTTAAGGTGAAGTGAAACCCCCTTCAAATCAGACGATTCTAATACAACACTTTTTTTTAAGGGTATTAGACCAAACTGTCCGAAACTTTGACACATCACTCCTGATCATCTAAGAATTGTCCTGGCACATTCAAAATTTGGATTTTTTGAAAATATTTTTTAACTTAGCCCAGACCAGAACCAAAATGGCGTCAGGCTCTCATATTTCGATCGATATACAATTATCGAAGGCTCTGATATGAAAAACGAAAAGGTCAGGACAATTTTACGATAATTTAGAACACTCTGGTAATCGATAAACTCGCATTTGAACGGGATAAAGGCAAAAAAAGTGTTGTATGCGCTTCTATGCTAAAACGATGGGAATACGAGGTCTCGGAGTGAAAATTTAATTGACCTGGAAATCACAGATGGCGCAGGGGGTCCCTCTGCAGTCAATTAGGGCCCCAGAAAAAATGAATCCAGAGGATTTCTGGAGCTTTACTTCGATTTCTTTATAATTATTGTACGAAAACGACAGGTGGAGTATGCCATTTGGTACAATACCCAATATAATTCGACACAGTTGTCAATATAAAAACGAACGTCGGCAACAAAGGTATTTGGAAAAATCTTCTTTATCGACGTCGATCAAGTTCCTCGACGTGTTTCACTTCACCTTAAAGACGAGGGTTAAATCGCGCTAATTGTTTCAGAGTTTCTAGTGGCACAGTGAAGAAATTATTCGCCACAGAACTGGGCTCAAAGCTGAGGCATTGCGTAAAACCATATTCATTGCGGCCGGAGGAAAGTGTGCTTTATCTAAGCATTAGTTTCTCAGAAATCTGTAAACTACTTAGCCAGGTATAATGGCTCGTTCGTCCTTGCATTTAGCTGCTAGTGACTCGAAACTATTCGCGGTACACCGGTAAGAGTACAGGGCAGTTATTTCTATTCGAAGAAATAATCGTAAGAACTACCGTAGAAGGATTTAATCGTCCTGTCAACATCATTAAGGAAGTAAGCATCAAATATTACTCATTGTCAGAGTACTTAGTGGTGCGCCGGTAACTACTTAAAGTGCGTTAACTATTATCCCCGATATTCAACAACCTAGGTTGAAATACTCAAGCGATGTCGTGTTATCCATCGAGGGGTCTGAAGTAGTCTCTTCTTTAAATAAACAATCTCTATTGCCTTCTCTACAACGAGGACGTACTTAGGCTCGCTTGTACTTGCATCTATCAGTACGCGTTCAAAATCTTTGAAATACCATTATGATTAAACGTAGGATTTGTTTCTGCTGTCCGAGGGATTTGACAGGACGCTTAAATGCCTTTGTTTGGATTCTTGAAATTCTTCCTTTTAAAATTGCATTTGCATAATAGCATTCCGACACCGAGTTTACGATGCAAAATGCGCTCGATATCGGTCGCTTTAATCGATCGCTCGCATTACACATTAGTACTCACCTTAATTATCTTATCACCGGCGTGGAGACCCGCTCTCTCGGCAGGACCGCCTAAAATTAATAATTTTCCCATTAGAGGCCAGTTTATTATGCCGTAGAAGTAGACGTCGCTACCTTTATTATTATGAAAACGAAGGAAGGATGGGACATCGGAAGAGGGAATCGATCAGCAATTCGAGGTGGATGGGAACTCTTTCAATGTGGGTCGATTCTAAAGGAAGTAAACCTAGGAATTCAACTAAGTGGGTAGTATTATTTAACAGTATTTGCAGTTCTGAAACGACAGATGATCAATACGCTCAACATCTGTCCAGATAATGTATAAAATGTCAAATAAACATTTACCAACTGTAATTAATTTAGGTACTTCATAATGGGGCTGATTTAAAATGGATTAATATTATGTTGTACTTTTTTTCTCTTGAAAGTTTAGAAGAAATAAGAAATTAATGAAGAAGAATTCCAGCAGTGTTTGGACTCTTGGGAGGGAGAGAAAGAGAGAAATGTGGTTCAGTTAATTGGTTATTTAAATTCACAAGGCTTACTCCTGAAAGTTAGTCGCGGAACAAAGAGGTCTTTCTCCGTTCCAAGGCTAACTTCTATCCTCAAAGCTTTTAAACGAACCAATCAACACGTAAGCTTTCAGCCACCCTTTGATTGGCCAACTCGAAAGTTCCCTCAGTCGGACTGAATCGATCCTCCAGAGAGAAGGGTAGAAATTGCAACGAGTTCGGCAACTACGCCTCACATTTAATACGTAAAGGTCGAATTCCTAAAAACACTGCCAATAAACTCTGATTGAAATCCACTTAATATTTGACTGGAAACCTCTTCCACAGAATTATACGGATAGATGAAATCGACAAAGGGGAAGGGATAAAAAGGATAACAAAGGGCTCGCACGGTTTGATTGAATACAGGAACGATTTCTTCAATCCTTCATTTAAAAAGTGATTATCAGACAAATAATCACCTCCACAGATAATTTTTTTTTTTAGATTTGAGAAGTTACAAGGCAGGAAAACAAAGTTATGGACAAATATGCATATGGATAGTTAAACTGCGGAAAGACAGGATTTTTCTGACATTTTATGCGGAGTATGGCAGCCGTTTTGTCGATCTTCTTTTTAGAAATACGGAAGAATGAGAGATCAAGAATAGAAGAGAGGAGTGGTTTGCCAAAGGTTTCACCGTTCCGATTTTAATTTCAAACCTCAGTAAACATAAGAAAAATAACAACTCCATGTACGAGTCCTCGATGGACCATTGATTAGCCATCTCTGGAGCTTTGCTCGCATAGATTCTTCAGGCGTGGGAGTCGCAAAGGAAGGTAGACAACCCCGTCTGGGAACTATGGAGAAAGGTCAAAATTATTGCTAAATTGCTGCCAACTTCATTTCAATTATTCAGAATATTCTGTCGGGTCTGCCCGGAGAAAGAGGAGAAACGGATGAAAGATCCAAGAGTTACGGAAAGGAGTAGAAGGAGAAACGTTTCACCAAGCAGCACAGAAACGAGCGGCAAGACAAAGGATCACCAGTGCCATCTCGAATTTAATTTCAAACCGCAATAGACTACAAACGGTTAATAATTAATACCGAGCTCTTCCTCGATCGTCAAGTGGCATTCTTTACAGGACGAAGAATAGATTTCTAAGAAAAGCGAAAACTACCACACAATTATTCAAACGAAAGTCAACATTTGCAATTGTTATTTATACGAATAGCAACCAAATATATTTGGTGTATCAAGAGCATGATATTAAATTATTTTCAGCGAATGGGAAAACGCGGAAACGAATAAACGCGCCATTGGAGTAAACGAAACTGTCACTGATGAAGATGCAAAGACGAGCGTTCCAGAATTTCGAGTAGAGTTTCTAACAGCGAGAAGTTTTAGAAAATAGCCAATTAGCGGGAAATATTTTGGGAAGAAGTTGATTGGCCTTCACGAGGATCGATTCGAAGTAAGCTTGTGGGAATGCGGCAAAAGGGGTGGCCACCTCCTGTACACACAAGGTATGGGGTCGGGGCTGAGTTTTGGAAGCTTACCGCGCTCTGGTGGGAGAAAAGTGTTGTTTTAAATATTAAAGCGCCTGCCCCGGATTCCTCTTTAAGCCAGAACGGAAGGAAAAGGGCGAGGGGCCAAGGTGCGAGATTTAGGAGGAGCTCCGCAATTCTCGGCGAGAGAATCGATCCCGAAGGAAGTCTGCAGGACTGCGCCAAGGTGGGCGGATACGAAGCGACCACTTCTGCAGGGATGGAAAACGAAAATAAAAGCCCAACCGACGTAGCCCTCTCGTTTCGAATTTCATCGGATGGTAGGGTTCATCTGTAATTTTCATGACCGACCTGTAATTCCACCGGTTATAGGTTAAAAGGGTGGAATTATTACCCCGAAGAAAGAGACGCGAATAGAACCCATCTTTTAGGATGGAATTAGATTGGTTGAATTTTGAAATTTGAAGATTTCTTTGCTGACAGAAGGAAGGGTGAATCAGGTTGGCTAAAGAGTCTTACGACATTTCATGTTTTTCAGAAAGATTTAGGCATCGTGGAGCTGTTCGACAGGTAAGTACAGATCATAGATGGAGAATCTATCGTTCACCTAAGTTATAATTAATGAAGATCAATTTCAGAATTGGGTTGTCATTCTCGCCAGACATTTCAACCAACTCAATAAAAAAGAAATCTTATTTTGCTGAAAGCAAAAAGGATTTGATCATTCGTTGAGAGGTTGTTAAGTTTCGTTAACGTTGAACCTGAAATGCTCGTGTATTTTCAAGGGGCAATCTAAATAGAAAGGTTTTAAAAAAAGTTGATAATTCAGGGAAAGTTGGAATGAAATTGGATAATCGAAGGTAGGTATCTTGGAGGAATCAGGATCTTTTTCCGTTCATGCGTATGAATATGGCAGAGTTGTATTGAATACGTTTGATTTCAAAATGATTTCGTAACGGAGCAATTGAAGATTTTCATCTTTGTAAACGTTTGCTTACAAAGACAGATGTCACCAACTCGCGTCTTATTTTGTCACTAAAGAAGAAACACGGCCATTCCCAGGATATCCAAATCAACGGGCATTTTTACGATCTAACTACAACAAAGCTAAGCCAATAAATAATATCGTTGCCGACGTTGCATTTACATGGAATACGGTGAACCGTTTCGGCAAAATCGGGGCTTTCGAGGTTCACACGTGACAACGCCCGAATGAAACGTACCCCATGCATGCACACGTGTATACACATCCTACCACCCAAAACCGCTTCCTTTACAGAAAACATCAATTTCTTATTACAATTCCGCTGGTAATAAACAAAAATCTAGTACCCGCTCAACACCCCGCTAATTATCCAATATTCGAAGTTATGAAATTACTCTTACAAGTAATAGATGCACATTCTAATGAGTTTTCTACGGTATCGAACCTCGGCTAAACCTTGCAAAACCCACGGACTCAAACATTGAACAACATTAGATAAAAGCCCATATCAAACCTCGGTTAACCCTTGCAAAACCCACGAACTCAAACACTGAACTACATTAGATAAAAGCCCATATCAACCTCAGTCACGCGATTAATCGACCTATCAGCGATCCCGCTGTAATCTTGGGTTTCGGGGTGAAAGCGGCACTTTTGTCCGGTAGTGCAAGGTAAAAGCCATTTTCCGTGAGTAATAACCGCAGGACTTACCTTCTTTGACCGACTGGACGTAAACGGGGTTGTCTCCGGAAACCTTCATGCCGTATCCGGCATCGTCGCTGTGGACGACGAGGGTGGCGACCGGTGCCGGTTCTCCGCCGCCTCCGCATCCTCCCCCACCGCCCCCGCTGCCGCTGCCTCCACCACCTCGGCCGCCGCCACCCCCGACACCGACGCCGACGCCGACGCCGACGCCAACGCCGACCCCGACGCCGACCCCGACGCCGGCGCCACTCCCATCCCCGACGCTGCGGCGCAACGCCGCCGTTCCATTCATCCCTGAGATGAGATCTCCGCCTCTCCTCACCTCTGCTGATATCGGCCGGCCGCTTGTCCTACGACAAAGCCACTGCTCAATCGGGGCCTCCGCTTTTCCGGGAGCGGGGGACGTTTTCTGCTGACTCGGAGAAGCAGGAAAGGGGTAAACCCCTTTCTTCCTTTCCACCGCTCGTCCGCCCCCCGTGGGATGTGATATTCGTTAAGGCAGTGGTTCTTAACCGGTACTGCGCGGACCACCAGCGGTTGCTATTTGTTAACCCTTTCGTTACCTTGGACGAGATATCTCGCGACCCGATACTGGCCGATCAACGCTTTTGACGAGATATCTCGCGATCCGGTAGTAACGAATTCACGCTTTTGACGATAATCTAGCTTTCTAGCACCAATATTTTGACATTCTAGATGAATATATTTTATAACTAATTCTATTCGTATAGCTAAAAGGAAGAAATGAATACAGCTACTACCGGATCGCGAGATATCTCGTCAAAAGCGTTGATCGGCTACTACCGGGTAGCGAGATATCTCGTCAAAAGCGTTGATCGGCCAGTATCGGGTCGCGAGATATCTCGTCAAAAGCGTTAATCGGCCAGTATTGGGTCGCGAGATCTTCGTCCAAGGTAACAAAAGGGTTAAAGGTGCTCTGCACAAGGTTTTGTATGTACAGGGTCTATCAGAATTCGTGGCCACGGTTTACGTGTCACTATCCTTGACGAAAATGGGCTTGGAAAGTCCTGTACCATTTTTTTTTTTTTTATATGGTTTACCTGTGGTAATCAATTAGTCACAAGCAAGACCAAGACTCCTGCCCATGGTAGTCTTCATCTTGATCGAGACCCCTGACCAATACCGATTTTGCTCATCGCTATAATTAATTGAAAAGACGGCGTGTTCTCTAATTCGCGTCTCGTTAGTAAACGCGTTGGTTGGTTATTTTTCAATTAATGATTCCGGGTAAACGTCGTAGATAAAAATTGTACAGGACTTTTCGATTCCATTTTCAATAAGATTTGCGATGTATGAACGGTGGGCACGAGTTCTGTTACACTCGGTACAGAGCCCGTTCGTATGAATTGAGAAGTAAAAAATGAAAATAGGAAATTTTGTTTCATGCATACATCGGCTGTATTGTGTATTTTATATGCGACTCGGATGAGCTAAAAGATTGAACCCCTACATTGAGGTAGTCATACACGTTACAATGAATCGTATTTGTAATCTGTTCAGTTAAATCGAGTTTTTCTATAGCGTCCATGCGTCATCCACGCGTTAGTTAAATTCGTACGGATCGATTTACACAGCCACTTATCGTGACACGTGTAGCCACCTTTAGTGATTCCGGTGGTCCTAATGTTTTTTTTTTCGTTTTAATAATTAAAAGTCTTCCGTGACTTCAACAAGATTAAGGACCTCTGCGTCAAGTTGACTCGCGGGCTCTGTTTCGTCGACGCATTGTCTCCCGAATTGCAGTTTCTGAATTTAAAGCGTAACTCGAGGGAGAAACAAAGCTTGGTTCGTTAGGTGGGGCGAATAAGGCGATGTCATTGCGTGAGGTTTAAATAACTTGTTAATTGCGAATGTAGAAACTGCATGTGCATAAAAACCCTCGACCGTGTACCGAGGATTTAAATGAAAATTTGACATGAAACGAGATTTTATAGAGTCATTACCTTTTAATTTCTCAGGCGTGTTAAGTTGTAAATTCTGCAATGGGCATATCGGAAAATTTCGATTCGAATACCTTCGGGTCACCTTAATCGATATTATCTCTATCTAAATGGTTATAAACATTTCCCATTTCCCCAGGACAACGAAAAACGCCAGAAATGTGTTACCTTAACACATTCGCGACCGCTGACGTGAATTCACGTCTTTCCAAGTTCTATTACTGGTTGCCGGTGACGTGAATTCACGTCGTTTTAAATTCTATTCCTGATTACCGCTGACGTGAATCACGTCCATAACGATACCACGATGCAAGTTCGCGGCAACCAGTTTCAGAATGTCATTATCTTCGCCGGTACTCAGTATTTGAAACGGAAAAAATTGGCCGGTCGCGAATGTATTAAGAAACAGTATGACACTTAAATCACTGTGTATTCTTTTCATAAAATTACCCCCCAAAATGTTTTATAAAATGGAGAATGTTTGATAAAATTCTCTTGAGCTTTCTCGAGATTCATCTAGAATACGTACATTTCATGTAAGCAACAATATACGTCACATGTTGTTCTAGGGCAATGTGTCAATCCGATGGTCACGGTTTTTATCGTTTGCAAAATCGCAAAGTTACCCTGGCCTTAATAGTGGATAATTAATTCTACGATAAGGAAGAGGATCACTCCCGCCTCGGCCATCAAAGCTGAATAAATTCGAGGAGATATTTGTTAAGCATTGCCGAGCTAAACTCGCGATATTCCAGCAGTTGGCAAAGGTCTTGGCCGTGCCAAAACCACGTTATCGCGTGCTCGACGTTTCTCCTGCGTTTACGAAGCCAACGTCGCTGTACCGTCCTGTCCAAGTTCTACACGTAGGCAAATGCTCCCAAACACGATAAGCGATCGGAGTCTGCCTCTTACCCTCGACCTCGAGACTGCTTTTGAATTCAAAGGAATTCCGCATCCGAGGGTGCGGACGTAATGCGGTGGTTTCAGGGTCGGGGTACCGTCGGAGGTCGGACAACTTGCGAAGAAAAATCTGCTATCGATCACTCGGAATAGTTCGATACCGAAGGAACCCGATAAAAATAGCGGAACGATTAACGCGACACTTCATTTAATTGGGAGAGTTGAATTTCTCTATTATCCCAGTTTTATTACATATATATATATATTATACTCGACGCGGTACATGACCAGAAATCTTTTACTTCAAAACGCATTTTCCAGAAAATTATGCAACCAGTACAGGTAACGCATAACAAATTTCCTTTTATTCCAGCCTCTACGATGTGTCAAGGTCGGCAATTATTTCCAAGTCTAAATGACAGAAGAATTTCAAATCATTTTAACAAAATTGCCACGAACGTTGCATCGTTACGGTAAATTCAAGCTCGAGTAGTTTATGATATTCCCACATTTTCTTATTTAATCAATTCTCAGGCAAAGAATTCATGCAACCTTTCTACTTTCCTCGCTAGAAAAAGATCTCTTAAATTCTTCGCACTGCAGGGACCCTACTACCCTACGTCGAATTCGTTAAAGCCGTTCGCTTTTTAACGAGCAACGACGTTAAATTACTCAACATTTTAAAAGGGTACAGGTACTCAGAAAAAAAATACTATTAAAAATTACCACACGAGCCGTGCAATAGGCGCTATCCCCTAAAAAGGACGCACCTACCGTTTGTAAAGTTACAATTTCTGAAGTTATTCTTTCTTTCAGTAGTTGTTATACCACCCTCCTTTTAGAGACTGGCGTCTATTTTACAACTACCCTTTCTCAGCGGGCCTTCCAATAAGAAATAAAAGAATGTTTATTCATTTTCCGAACAAACTTCTCCTCCGAGTTACCTTTGTCCATTTTCATTCAATGGGAACAAATGGAAAAAAGAAAAAAAAAAAAGAAAATAAAATTACCCGAGTCCGCTACGCGTGCTTGGACGAAACCATGGACGTAGGATGTACGGAGTTTGCGAACCTGACCATTTCCTTGATATTCTCGTAAAGGCAAACGAAAGAGAACTTCGTTCTCTCCCTCTGTTTCTCCCTTGCCGTAAACAGCCGCCACCGTCGCGCTGTGCATTCGTTTCACTTAAAAAAGGGAGAGAAAGAGTGAAAAAACTCCCCCTTGTTTCCCCCGCCTTCGATTCTATCGCCTTCATCGTCGGATCAGGGTGCAGGGTCCATGGGTCCCACGCCCATGGATGAAATCATGAAAACTCGATGCGTTTTAGAGGCAGAACGGCAGAGGGGTGCCAGTTGGGCGGCATTTGCACGATAAGGGTGGGGTGTAAGATTCGTCCGATTCGGTGTCGCTTATGCCGACAGGTGTTCCTAGCGATAAGGGGGCCGCGTTCCGGCGTCGCCCCGGTGTAAATAACTCCTACGTGGGTGAATCCACCGTGAAACCGCGAGGGGACAATGCGCCATTGTGCCGAGGGTGCCTCGCGCTCGCAGATGCCCGGCGAAACGGCGTCCTCGCGATTATTTCCGTTTCGCGATTTCTTCGCGCAGAAACTCCGGACTTGGCCGACGCCTTCGAGTCAAGATTTTGCGGTCTGAGGTGTACCGCTATAATGGGACGCGTCATCGTATAACGTCGCGGGTGTCCTCCTCCGGAGACGTCACGAGTATTGGGACACCTTGCCGCGAGGAAAAATTACTCGCAACGGTTTGCATCGCGATTCACGCAACGTCTGCATCACGCGATTAACACCCCGCCACGAAAAAAAAATAAATTCCACCGCGCGGGAACTCGCGATGTCTTTATTAGGATATCAGTCGTTACGCCCGGCATTGTATTTTTATATATATTTTCTTTTTTAACCCTTTTAGTGCCGAAGGCCTCGTTGCACTGGCGAAAAGTGCCAGAGCCGATATATCGTCCCGCACCTTGTAGAGCTTTACTATTCGCTTTGCGAGAGATCTCTATCTCAAAATAAATTTATAATACGTTATAAATAGTCTAATTTCATTACGAGAGAATTAAAATAACGATACAACAACACCTATAACAACCTATAACCTATAACAATTACTTGTTTCGGATAAGATAATCCGTCCGGCGCCTCCCATGTGCCTTGGAGTTATTTTTTATGTTTCTTGTGCAATATTACTTATTTTGTTAAAAAGTATATTGGAAATTTAAAGTATAAACTTTGCAATAAACGGT